GAGGCAGGCTGCTCAGTCAGGAGGCTGAATTTAAGACAGGGTCTGGCTTTGTCACCCAGGCCGGAGTGCCATGGTGTTGTCTTGGCTCACTGTAACTTCAGCCTCCTGGGCTCAGGCGATCCTCAGCCTCTGGAGTAGCTGGGAGATTACAGGCACACACCACCACTCCCAGCTGATTTTTTTTTTTTTTTTTTTTTTTTTTTAGTGGAGATGGTTTTTTTTTTTTTTTTTTTTTTTTTCCATGTTGCCCAGTCTGGTCTCGAACTCCAGGGCTCAAGTGATCCTCCCACCTCGGCCTCCCAAAGTGCTGGGATTCCAGGCATGAGCCACTGTTCCTGGCCAGAGGCTGATTTTAAATGTCCCTTCTCAGTGAAATCGTCCCTAGCGAGCCCTTCTCACATTCCCTCTTGTTCTGTCACTTATGTAACATTCTGGAGATTGTCCTTCTGTTGTTGTTTTTGTCTTTTTTTTCCCATCTTCTTGAAAGTCCATTCCATGGGAACAGGGTTTTCGATTTGTTTTCTTCACTGCTATGTCCCCAGCACCTGGCCCAGAGCCTGGTACCTAGGTGATAATTGCGTATTGGAGGGAGGGAGGGAAGGAGAGAAGGAACGAAGGAAGGAGTGAGCACGCTCCACAGTCGTGGGGACAGAGACAGAGGATGCAGGCACCCCAGTGATACTGGACATTTTGATTGGGCCCTTTCTGTCTGACACCCACAGAGGGCAGACCTCCTGTGCACAGCAGCCTTCCTCCTCTGGGAGGGCACCGGCATGCACTTTGCAAATCCATTCCTGGCTCTTTCCATGGCTCACTGCACAGGATGGATTTGCAGATTTTGGGGCTAAGGTCACATTCCGGAAGATGCTGGAAGGTGTCAGGATCAGCCCACGCCCTTGGCCAGATGGTGGCATTCCCAGGAAGTGGCAGCCAGAGATGGTGGAGTAAATGACCGAGAAGCTCTCAGATAGAATTTAAGGGCGTAATTATGAAAGATCTTCCACAGCTATTAGAATGAATCAGCGCCTCTGAATCTGGGAGAAAAGCTGCCAAACTGTTTGGTTTTGAATGGAAGTGCTTTTCTTCCCTTTTCTCTTGTGAATCACTCGGATTCCCCCAGGAGGCTTCAAGCTCCGTGGCTGCGTCCCCAGCACCAAGCACAGAGCCTGGCGCTTGGGAAGGGGGCAGTGAGCGTTCGCGGAAGTAGGGTCAGAAGGGTGGACAAATCAATGCTTTCCAATGATCCTGTTGCTCTTGGGTGACTCCCTTCTCAGATATATGATTTTTTCCTGTACCAAAGGCAGAAAATGGGAATTTTGCACTCTGCAAATTAGGCTTGGGGAGATCAAGTCTGTGGACTTGGCAGGTTCAGCAACAGTAGAGAAACACTCATTGCTAGCCCAGTGCCTGGAGTCAGACTGATGTCCCCTCTGCCATGGTCCCACCGCAGCCTCCTGACTTTCCCAGATGGGTGCCTTGGTCTCCATCTGTTCCCTGTGCTGCCAGGTCACTCGGACTTGGTTGCCCTTCTTTCTTTGGGTAGTTCTTGTTGACTTGGCTTTGGTCATCATGCTCAGCTAATATACTATTTAAACAAGAGACTGGCTGGGCATCGTGGCTCATGCCTGCAATCCCAGCACTTTGGGAGGCTGAGGCAGGCAGATCGTGAGGTCAGGAGTTCGAGACCAGCCCAACCAACATGGTAAAACCCTGTCTCTACTGAAAGTACAAAAACTAGCTGGGTGTGGTGGCACATGCCTATAATCTCAGCTACTCTGGAGGCTGAGAGGCAGGAGAATCACTTGAACCCAGGAGGCGGAGGCTGCAGTGAGCCAAGATTGTGCCGCTGCACTCTAGCCTGGGTGACAGAGCAAGACTCTGTCTCAAAAGAAAAAAAAAAAAAAAGGAGAGGCTGGGCGGCTGGGCATGGTGGCTCACGGCTGTAATCCTAGCTCTTTGGGAGGCCGAGGCGGGCAGATCACAAGGAGATTGAGACCATTATGGCTAACACGGTGGTGAAATACCATCTATACTAAAAATACAAAAAATTAGCCAGGAGTGGTGGCATGCGCCTGTAGTCCCAGCTACTTGGGAGGCTGAAGAAGGAGAATTGCTTGAACCTGGGAGGTGGAGGTTGCAGTGAGCTGAGATTGTACCACTGGACTCCAGCCTGGGCTACAAAGTGAGACTGTTTAAAAAAACAAATAAAAAAAAAAAAAAAACAAATAAAATAAAAATAAATAAATCAATAAATAATAGTGAACACATCCACCCCAAGAATAAATAGCAGCTGGCCTCTCTGCTAGTGGGCTTCAGAAATGTTTTGGAAGAGACTAACATCTCTTAAATCAAGTGTAACATATGTGATACATTTAAAGGAAGGTTTTTAAAGCATACAGTTAAATTGGTTTCCTTCTATTTTACAGTAGGTTAAACGAAAACCTGAGAATCATGGATTTCTAGGGTTGGGTAGGACTTTAAAATATTACGGAAGCATCTACTATGGCATTTTAAAAACTCCTTTTACGGCCAAGTGCAGTGGCTCATGCCTGTAATCCTTAGCACTTTGGGAGGCCGAGGTGGGTGGTTCACTTGAGGTTGGGAGTTCTAGACCAATCTGACCAACATGGAGAAACCCCGTCGCAATTTAAAAAAAAAAAAAAAAATTAGCATGGTGTGGTGGCACATGCCTGTAATCCCAGCGACTCGGGAGGCTGAGGCAGGAGAATTTCTTGAACCCGGGAGGTGGAGGTTGCAGTGAGTGGAGATCGCACCAAGAGTGAAACTCTGCCTCAAACAAAACAAAACAAAACAAAACAAAAACTCCTTTTACTTTTCTTTGTTCATTGATTTATTAATTCATTCATTGATCTGTTCATTCATTCGTTGACTTATTTGTGCAACTGCATTTACATACCAGACATTTGCTGGGCATTTGCAGTGATAACTTGGTAGGCAGTTCCAGACATAAAGCAGACGACGGGTCAGAGAGGGACTGTTTGATGCAGAGGACTGTGGATCAAGGGTCTTCGTTTCTCTTGTCTTTCCCCTTTTCCTTCCATGCAGTATAGTCGCTGAGAGGGGTTCAAGGATCCCAAAGTGGGGTGACATTTGTGTACCCAGCAAACGGTTGCTCTTGGTGACTCTTTACCCAGGGAAATTCGTGCCGAGAATCATTCATTCCACATTTGGGCAGGTGAGCTGGCGTGACAGCGTGAGGTTGATGTGGATGCAGCAGGTGCCTGCCCTGAGGGTGGACTCTGCTGTGTGGCCCAGTGAAACTGATAGGGGTCTCTGGGTGAGGGATGGTGGATTGAGCTTCTGGCTGAACACTTTGCAGCCCTTTGGTTCTGTCATCTAGTAGCCACAGCCACAGTTAGAGTAACTCATCTTAGGTCCCAGATTGCTTAGAGTCATGTGGCATGAGGTTCATGGTACCTGGACTTAATTATTTATTTATTTTTGAGACGGAGTTTCGCTCTTGTTACCCAGGCTGGAGCGCAATGGCACGATCTTGGCTCACCTCAACCTCTGCCTCCTGGGTTCAGGCAATTCTCCTGCCTCAGCCTCCTGAGTAGCTGGGATTACAGGCACGCACCGCCATGCCCAGCTAATTTTTTGTATTTTTAGTAGAGACGGGGTTTTATCACGTTGACCAGGATGGTCTCGATCTCCTGACCTCGTGATCCACCCGCCTCGGCCTCCCAAAGTGCTGGGATTACAGGCATGAGCCACCGTGCCCGGTCGGTACCTGGACTTATTTAGCATCTTAGAGGGTGGGCAGCAGGGGCAGAAGAATATTTTTTCATTCATTTACTTTTTCACTCAACAATGATTTGTTTCTCTATTCAATAATCATGTATCTGGTGCTTTTCTGTGCCAGGCTGCTGTGCTAGCTGCTAGGGATCTGAGGTGTCCTCAGGGGGGCTTACCCTAGAATGGGAGAGACTGATGTGACAGATGATGTCCTATTAAATGTAGCAGTGCAGCTGTGCTGAGTCCTGCCAAGCCTTCAGGTGTATGTGGTGCTCCTTGAACAGGCCGGAGTCGGGGGGTTGTTGTACCAGGTTGAAGGGGGACAGAGATGTCTGAGCGGTGTGTCTGTATCTGTGTGTGAGTAAGATGCTGGTCCCAGGGAGCAGGCGTTTGGAGAGCTTCAAAGAAGTGCAATGTCCAAATATTGCTGATGAGCAGAAGCAGCTCCCAAAGGAGTCAGCACCTTGAATGCTCAGTAGGCATCTCCTCTAAGTCAAGTGAGTTTTCCAGGACCACCAGTTCCAGTTCTAGGCAATTAATCCTCCTTTTTGCCCCCACACCCACATTAAAGAAGTGACATTTGGGCCGGGGCGCGGTGGCTCAAGCCTGTAATCCCAGCACTTTGGGAGGCCGAGGTGGGTGGATAATGAGGTCAAGAGATCGAGACCATCCTGGTCAACATGGTGAAACCCCGTCTCTACTAAAAATACAAAAAATTACCTGGGCATGGTGGTGCGTGCCTGTAGTTCAGCTACGCAGGAGGCTGAGGCAGGAGAATTGCTTGAACCGAGGAGGAGGAGGTTGCAGTGAACCGAGATTGCACCATTGCACTCCAGCCTGGGTAACGAGCGAAACTCAAAAAAAAAAAAAAAAAAAAAAAAAAGTGACGTTTGTTACCCAGTTGCAATTGCTTATGTACGTGTGTGTATATGTGTTTCTTACAGAAGACTGTGAGTTCCATGGTTGCAGGGGATATTTCATGCTCATCTTTGTACACACCACAGGTGCTCAATAAACATGTATCAGAGAACAGGGATGATTTTTATTGAGCATGTACTGTGGGCTCCGCACTATTTATGCACACGTACATATAAGGCTACAAAATCAAAAAGCCAAAAGGAGCATACGTTTTACAAGCTGGAGTAGATGCCAGCGGATGCATTTGGAACTTGAAAGCTTTTGTGCCGTCTGTTCCCGTACTGCCAGAACTCCGGAACTGAGGCTGTCATCCCGTGTCTCCCCAGACCTGCTGAAACTCAGCCTGCTGGGACGAGTCTGCTTTCCCCCCTCCTGTTTCTGCCATGGAAGTGTGTGGACAGCCCTGTTGACGATGACATGTGACACCATTGGCTTTCCCTGGCAGTCACACCCCTTGACCCACGGCCTGCCAACTTGGGTGAGTGGGGCCCATGCTTGACCGGAGCTTGAGGGCTGGAGCGTCCGTGTCGTGGAGATCGCCTGTGGGTTTTGCCAGACAATTTTCTCTCTGTCCTTTGAATCCTGTCATTGTTTTATGTCTCATGTCCTGGCTATTACGTATGCATCCCTGATCAGGGTTTCCAGAGTTCACAGGGGCTGGCCCTAAAGGCAAATGGCCCTGATTCTGGGTGGGATTCTGGAGCCTTAGAACTCTGACTGGGGTCTTTGGGGTTGGAAATTCTCCAGTTCTCATAGTGTTCCTATCTGTCCCTCCATTCTACTTCTAACCGTGTCTAGACAGTGTTCTCCAGTTTGGAGAGATGGAATCTGTTAGCACCATTGAGCGTGTGAGGAAGAGAAAATATCAAAATCTGTCTGCCTTTCTTTCCTGGAGGCTGCTGAGTGAGTCAGAGCCGGGGGAGCAGTGTGGGGCCCCAAGGAAGGGAAGTGGAGAGGCTTGTGTTTAACTAAAATACCTTGGACTTTTTTAGTCTATCTAGGTGGGGGCCAGCCGGGGGCAGTTTCACAGGGAAGGAAAACACTGGCATGAAGGGAGAGCGAGCACAGCGACTTACCTGGCATTTTTTAAGGCCAGAAAGGAATAAAAAATGATTTTTAAAAAGGCAGAGCCGAGTGTGGGTGGTGGACTTGGGGTTAGGTTTCAGCTGGATGATTGTAGGCAAGTCTGTGACCTCTCTGGGCCCTGCCCCTTCTCGGTGAGGGAGATAACCATCATTCCTGGTGGATGAACGAGAGAGGAGGGGCCCTGCTTTGAGAAAACCTCTGCTAGCAGGGTGAACAAGAGGCTTCTGCCCGAACTGCTGCAAAATGGGGTCTCCTAATCATACCCACTAAAGAATGTTGTGATGAGGATGAGATTTGTAAAACACAAGAAGCATGTGGCATAGCTTGAGATCTCACTTAGGGGAAGCCCTCACTGTTGGATGTTTCTCTTCTTCTTCTTCTTATTATTTTGGGGGATGAAGTCTTGCTTTTGTTGCCCAGGCTGGAGCGCAGTGGCACAATCCTGGCTCACTGCAACCTCTGCCACCTGGGTTCAAGTGATTCTCCTGCCTCAGCCTCCTTAGCAGCTGGGATTACGGGTGTGCGCCACCAATGCCTGGCTAATTTTTTACTTTCCTTTAGTAGAGATCGTGTTTCACTATGTTGGCCAGGCTAGTCTTGAGCTCCTGACCTCAGGTGATCCACCTGCCCCGGCTTCCCAAAGTGTTGGGATTATAGGCATGAGCCATTGTGCCCGGCCAGATGTTTCTCTTTTTGTTAAGAATGTGAAGGCAGTCAGCATAAAATGCGTTTTCAAAAAAAAAAAAAAAAAAAAAAAAAAAACCACAAAGCAAACAAAAGCAGGTTTAGTGAGAAAAATCAGAATGGCTTTTTAAAATGGCACCTGGAAGTAGGGGGATGGGAAAGAAACGAGACTAAAGGACGATTGGGCGGGGTTGGTGGCGAGGGCGTGGGTTCCAAGGTCACTAACCAGCTTTGGGCTCCCAGGCACTCCTGAGCTGCATTGCTGTGTGGCCTGCAGCAGGTCAGTTGCCTTCTCTCTGCTAGATGCTTTTACGCTTGTGATGAGGATCACCTGGGATGTGGGCAGGCTCTGCCATGGGAAAACAGGGTAACAGGAGCGAGGGAATGTGAGGATGCTCCCACTGCGGCTTTTGCGAGGAGTGTGTGTGCTGTGAGTTTGGCGTCAAACCTGGTTGCAAATCCTGACTATACCTCTTGCTTCCTGGGTGACTCCAGGCCAATGACGTGGCCTCTCTGAGCTGGTCTACTTATCTGTATAGCAGAGATCACTGCTCTTTGCCTCTAGATTAGCCGAGTCAGGGAAAAGTCCTTCAGCCAGTGTTGATGCCTTGTCTACACCCTCGGAGCTGGAATGCACTTCAGGGATGGGCGTTTCGTCCAATTCCCTCATCCAGAGCTCCGAGATGGGGCGAGGCAGGCCCAGGCCTGCCCAGGGCTGTCGCACGCAATCTGGGGCTCAGGACTCTGTCCCATGTCTCCAACCCCTTCTGCTTCCACCCCGACGCAGACTGTTTGCCAAATGTACTTTTTTTGTTCGTTTCGTTTGTTTAGCAGCGGCCTCTCCATTCTCGATGTTCCTGATCCCCATGGACCCACGACTGTAGCCATGGCCACGCGGGTGGAGGTGGGCTCCATAACGCCCTTGACGGCGGTGCCAGGCCTGGGTGAGATTGGCAAGGAGGACACCCTGACGAGGACCTACTTCCTCCAGGCTGGCGATGCCTCTGGGGCTCCCCCAGCCCGGATCTTGGAGGCGAAGAGCCCCCTGCGGAGCCCGGCCCGCCTACTCCCTCTGCCAAGGCTCGCCCCCAAACCTTTCTCGAAGGAGCAGGACGTGAAGTCTCCTGTCCCGTCTCTGCGGCCCGGTTCGACTGGACCTTCTCCCTCTGGGGGGCCCTCTGAGGAGCCAGCAGCAAAGGATCTGGACAGGAGGGTGCCCGGCTTGGTGGGGCAGGAGGTGGGCAGCGGGGAGGGCATGAGGGCAAGCTCGTCCCTCTTCCACAAGGCTGTGTTCCTGCGCCCCAGCTCCAACACCATGATTCTCTTGGAAACCACAAAAGGCGGCCCCGCTCTGGGGAAGGCGCTGGGCGAGGGGGCCGAGGAGGCCAAGCCGGGTGTGGCCGGCTCCCGGCCCGAGGTGGCCGCCAAGCCCGCCCTGCCCACCCGAAAGCCTGCGGGGACCCTTCCCCGGTCAGCGCCCCCTTCATGGGACAGAAAGCCACCTATACCCCAAGAGGAGGCCGGCCGAGACCAGCCTCCCTCGAAGGCCAGCAGTGTGGAGGACACGGCACACCCCCCTGTGGAGCCCAGGCCTCGCCTGAAGAGAAGGCCCGTGTCCGCCATTTTCACGGAGGCCATTCAGCCCCAGAAGCCAGGCCCCGGCGCGGTGGCCACGGTGGGCAAAGTGCCCCCCACCCCTCCCGAGAAGACGTGGGTGAGGAAGCCCAGGCCCTTGTCCATGGACCTCACGGCCCGCTTTGAGAACAGAGAGGCCTTGCTGAGGAAGGTGGCCGACGAGGGAAGTGGGGCCACGGCCGGGGCCACGGCTGGGCTGGACAGGCCCAGGGCAGAGCGCAGGCCGGACCAGGCGGAGGCTCCTCTTCACGATCCGGATTCGGACTTCCTGGAGGTGGCCAAGAAAATCCGTGAACGGACGGAGAAGATGCTTTTGAAGGAGGAGACGGGCAGCCCCAGAGCCCCGGGGGGCTCAGCCAGGGTCACCCCCAGCAATGACCAGCGTCCCTGGGAAGAAAAGGCCAAGATGGACCTGGAGCCAGAGAAGGCCGCTGAGTCCCCCTCGCCCAGGCTGGGAAGGGGCCTAGAACTCTCTGAGGTTAAGAGCAGGGCGGACCACAGGGAGACCCTGGCCCCGGCGGGGGGAGAGTGGGTGTCCAGGGGGAGCGTCAGGAAGTGCATCAGCCTGTTTCGGGAGGACGGCACCTTGGCCTTGGGGGTGGGGGCTGAACCCCCTCTGGCTACCCCTGCGCCCCCGTCGGTGGCACCAGAGACGGAGAAGAGGGTTGTGAGCGTCCAGGAGCGGATCAAAGGCTGGGCCACCGAGGGCGCCGAGGCCAAGCCGGAGGTCAGGAGAAGGACGATCCAGGCTCGGCCGCTGTCGGCGGATTTGACCAAACTGTAAGTAGGCACATCGCACACCCCTCCCTCAGTCACCCACCCGGAGACCCTGAGGAAGAGGAAACCGGGCTCCCTGCCGGGCACCTGCCACCCCTCTCAGTTCACCCAGAGCCCAAGAGGAGGTAGCCGCAGGGTCCATTTCTCAGAGAGGCTGGGTGTGGCCAGCCAGGGGGCCCAGAGCTCCATTTTCATGGCTTTTTCTCAGCTTCGGATGTCCCGTGTGATTGAAGCGGGAGCTGTGTGCCCGTGTGACAGAGGCAGAGCAGGGCGTTGGGAGCTGGGTATCATTCCAGCCCAGCTGCAGCTAAGCCTTTCTTCTCTAAAGTCAGAGAGAACACTTAAGATTAGCCTAAGCCTCTATGAGTGGCCCATAAAAGAAACTCAGAGGAGTCAAGGGAATTTGGGCAAGTCAGTTGGTTAATAATGATATTCTATGTCAGTTGGTTAGTAATAATACTCTAAGTCAGTTCGTTAATAATGATAATCTAGGCCGGGTGCGGTGGCTCACGCCTGTAATCCCAGCACTTTGGGAGGCCGAGGCGGGTGGATCACGAGGTCAAGAGATCGAGACCATCCTGGTCAGCATGGTGAAACCCCGTCTCTACTAAAAATACAAAAATTAGCTGGGCATGGTGGCATGTGCCTGTAATCCCAGCTACTCAGGAGGCTGAGGCAGGAGAACTGCCTGAACCCAGGAGGCGGAGGTTGCGGTGAGCTGAGATCACGCCATTGCACTTCGGCCTGGGTAACAAGATTGAAACTCCATCTCAGAAAAAAATAAAAAATAATATTGATATTCTAAGTTTCTAAGTCAGTTGGTTAGTAATGATTTTGTTTTCTTTTTCTTTTCTTTTCTTTCTTTCTTTCTTTCTTTTTTTTTTTTTTTTGTTGAGACTGGAGTTTCGCTCTTGTCTCCCAGACTGGAGTGCAGTGGCACAATCTTGGCTCACTGCAACCTCCGCCTCCCGGGTTCAAGCGATTCTCCTGCCTCAGCCTCCCGAGTAGCTGAGATTACAGGTACCTGCCACCACGCCCAGCTAATTTTTTTTTTATTTTTTTTATTTTTAGTAGAGATGGGGTTTCACCATGTTGGCCAGGCTGGTCTCAAATTCCTGACCTCAAGTGATCCACCCATCTCAGCCTCCCAAAGTGCTGGGATTACAGACGTGAGCCACCGCGCCTGGCCTGTGACACTCTAAGTCAGTTGGTTAATAATGGTGTTCTAAGCTTGGCCCGCCTCCGACATCTCTTCTTTGTTTTCCCATAAGTGGCCACAACAGAGAGATGCCACTGGGCATGATCGACCGGCTCTTAATGGCATGCGTGCTACTGGCATACTTTGTCCGGGGTGGAGCTTGCAAAGGCAGGCTCTCTGGGCAGACTGCCCTCCCGGCCCTGGGAACCAGGACAGCCAGCTGGGCCAAAGCTAGACCACTGGCCCTTAGCACACTAGAATAACCCAGAAATATGCCAATGCCTGGGTCCCACCCCTAGAGATTCCAATTCACTTGGTCTAGGGAGGGTCTCACTCATACTTTGGTAGGTTTTAAAAGCTTCCAAGTGAATCTTATGTGCAACCAGGCCTGAGGACCCCTGAGTTAAGATATCAGAGAAGGGGCCGGGCGCGGTGGCTCAAGCCTGTAATCCCAGCACTTTGGGAGGCCGAGGTAGTTGAATCACAAGGTCAAGAGATCGAGACCATCCTGGTCAACATGGTGAAACCCCGTCTCTACTAAAAAAAATACAAAAAATTAGCTGGGCATGGTGGCGCGTGCCTGTAATCCCAGCTACTCAGGAGGCTGAGGCAGGAGAATTGCCTGAACCCAGGAGGCGGAGGTTGCGGTGTGCCAAGATCGCGCCATTGCACTCCAGCCTGGGTAACAAGAGCAAAACTCCGTCTCGGAAAAAAAAGATATCAGAGAAGGACACCTATGCCAGGCTCCTCATATGCTTCCTCTCACTATGTCCTCGAAGAGGAGAGGCCGTGTGATTATCCCCATCTGACAGATGGGGAAACTGAGGCTCTGAGTTTGCTCGACATAACTCATCTCAGCCTCACACATCCCAGGAGGCAGACCCTGGGTTGTGGAGTGTGGGTTAGGTTTTAGTGGTTTGATTTCTCTCCCTTTCCTGTTATTCAAAGTCCCCAGCTTTGAACTAAGCACATGCTACATCTTCAGGTATTTATACCAGAGAGCTCTCCAGAGATGGAGATTCTAGCTCTACACCCTCTGCCCTTTTAAAGGTGGGGAAAAGGAGGCCCAGAGAGGGATAGTGACTTGGTCCTGGTGATCCAGAGAGGCAGAGACGGACCTGGGCCCCCGCACATTCCCTGATGGCCCATTGCCCTTGAGTCTGGGGGCTGCTCTGAGGTGGGGCTGCTGTTTTACCTGGCATTGCTAACAGCAGCCATTCATTATCCCTCCTGGGGCATCTTCACTCTTCCCTAAACGCCCTCACATAGCTATTAGGGCCTTGAGTAGCCTCTTATCTGCCCTATAAAAGGGATGGGGAGGTGTTAATTATCCTCTTTTGATAGATGAAGAAACAGAGGCTCAGGTGAGGTCCCAAGCCCAACCCAAGCTCCCCCAGTGAGGAGGCAGTAGAGCTGGCACTAACCTGGGTGTCTTCGCCCAGCCTGGGGCTCCTTCCACCTCGAACATGCTGTGTTTAAGGTAGGCTCTCCCCACTGGGCAGTTCTCCTTTTGGTAAGTGGAAAGGAAATGTCCTTTCTGAAAGTTAATTGGCTGAGCTGCTGTGTGGGCTAGGGGGAATAACAGCTTCTAGCTCCGGACAAATAACTTGGATCTCTGTACCAGGTTTTCGAGTTCTGCTTCAAGCAACGAAGTCAAATATGAGAAGTGCGCTGAGCTGAGCGGGGAGCTTCCTAAGGAAACGAGAGAAAAGGTAAAGAGTGTCTATGTGACACATCTCTCATTAACTAGCAGGCAGTTATGGCTGCTGGAAAAAGAGCCTCCGTCATCTCCTAGACCCAGGAAAGAATCAGAAACATGTCATGCACATGATAAAACATTTTTTCTTCTAACATTGGGACTTTGAAGTTTATTCTGGCATGAAGACTTGTGATTCCCACTCCCAGATGTTAAATGCTGTTAACCAATGTATTAGGTATTTTTTTCTTTGCAAGGAGGCAGAGGGGGGCATGGCTTTCTTATATAGGAGTGCCTGCTTTATTAAGATACTGAAATTTAGGTGTAAGATGTTAACAGAAACTCCCTCAAGGTCCTTCATAATGGTTCTTACTGCCTTCCCCCTACTTACCACCTAGCCACAGAAGGAAGAATTAGGTCTGGACACAGTGGCTCACATCTGCAGTGCTGCACTTTGGGAGGCTGAGGTGGTGGGAGGATTGCCTGAGCTCACAAGTTTGAGACCAGCCTGGGCAACACAGTGAGACCCTATCTCTAAAAGAAAAAATACATGTATTTTAAAATTAGCTAGATGTGGTTGTGTATGCCTATAGTTCTAGTTATTACAGAGGCTGAGGCAGGAGGATTGCTTGAGCTCAGGACGTTGAGGCTGCAGTGAGCCATGATTGTGCCACTGCACTCCAGCCTGGGCGACAGAGTGAGGCCTATCTCTAAAAAATAAGCATATAAATTAAAACAGAAAGAAGTAAGTTACCAGCAATTAAATTGAAAAGTATTATTATTTCATCAATTTAATAAGAGAAAGCTCATAAAATAACTGCTAGCTATAACCAGTTTGTGATTGATGCTTTCTGCAGAGTCTTCGTTTTTTTAAAAACAGCTTTAATTGAGATACAGTTGACATAAAGAGCACAGATTTAAAACATTAAACTTGGCGGGGCGCCATGGCTCACGCCTGTAGTCCCAGCACTTTGGGAGGCTAAGGCGAGTGGATCACAGGGTCAGGGGATCGAGACCATCCTGGCTAACATGGTGAAAACCAGTCTCTACTAAAAGTACAAAAAAAAAATTAGCCGGATGTGGTGGCACATGCTTGTAATCCCACAGCTGCTGGGGAGGCTGAGGCAGGAGAATTGCTTAAATGTGGGAGGCGGAGGTTGCAGAGAGCCAAGGTGTATCTAAAAAAAGAAAAAAGAAAAGGAAAAAAGTACACATAACATAAAATATACTATTTTAACTTTTTTATTTTTTGAGACGGAGTCTTGCTCTGTCACCAGGCTGGGTGCAGTGGCCCAATCTTGGCTCACTGCAGCCTCTGCCTCCTGGGTTCAAGTGATTCTTCTGCCTCAGCCTCCCAAGTAGCTAGGACCACAGGCGCGTGCCATGACACCTGGCCAATTTTTAAATTTTTTTTTAGTAGAGACAGGGTTTCAACGTGTTGGCCAGGATGGTCTTGATCTCTTGACCTCGTGATCTGCCCGCCTTGGCCTCCCAAAGTGCTGGGATTACAGGTGTGCGCCTCCGCGCCCGGCCCTATTTTAACTATTTTTAAAGAAAAATAATGAGTTTTTTTTTGAAATTTACAAAATTTATAAAGTTTCAAAAATTCACAGTCTAATATATATACATATATATAAATAATGCAACAAAGAGAGAATTCTGAAAGGCTCTTCAAGGATCATAACCCATTGGCAAGAACTGTTTTCCAGGAAGGGGGACTGGTATTTGAACAAGGGAACAAAAAAGATTTGAATTTTGGCTGGGTGCTGTGGCTCGTGCCTGTGATCCCAGCACTTTGGGAGGCTGAAGTGGGCGGATCATGAGGTCAGGCGATCGAGACCATCCTAGCCAACATGGAGAAACCCCATCTCTAATAAAAATACCAAAAAAATTAGCCGAGCGTGGTGGTGCATGCCTGTAATCCCAGTTACTCGGGAGGCTGAGGCAGGAGAATCACTTGAACCCGGGAGGCAGAGGTTGCAGTGAGCCGAGATTACGTGACTGCACTCTCTCACAGACAGCAAGAGTGAAACGAACTTTGTCATATTGTTTAGATTTTTTTACAATCAGAATGGATTCATACATTGTTTATGTAAAATTTACATATTAAAATAAACAGGCCGGTTGTGGTGGCTCATGCCTGTAATCCTAGCACTTTGGGAGACTGAGGTGGGTCGATCACTTGAAGTCAGGAGTTGAAGACTAGCCTGGCCAACATGGTGAAGCCCCGTCTCTACTAAAAATCCAAAAATTAGCTGGGTATGGTGGTGCATGCCTGTAGTCCCAGTCACTCGGGAGGCTGAGGCAGGAGAATCACTTGAACCCAGGAGGCGGAGGTTGCAGTGAGCCGAGATCAGGCCACTGCACTCTAGCCTGGTGACAGAGTGAGACTCCATCTCAAAAACAAACAAAAAAACCCAAATATATATATATATATATATATATATATATATATATATATGTATATATACATATATACATATATATTGAACTCTCAAACACTGTTCAGACCAAATATATATTTATATATATTTTAGGGCCCTTCAATGGCATTCCATCATTTATAGCAGGGGTTAGCAAACTGGCCCTGCCCTTATTACAGCCATTTTAAAGTGTACACTTGAGTGGCATTAAGGATGTTTTCAGTGTTGTGCAAGCATCTAGTTCCAGAATTTTCTATCATCCCAAATAGAAACCTTGTATCCTCATCCCCCATTCCCAGGCATCCACTAATCCACTTTCTGTTTCTATGGATTTACCTATGATATATATATGCTGTATATAAATGGAGTCATAGAACATGTAGCTTTTTGACTGGCTTTTTTCGCTTACAAATATATATATATATACACACACACATACATATATAAATATATATTTATATATGTTTATATATATTTGTAAGCAAAAGAAGCCATATATGTACATATATAAATTTATATATACATAGATGTATATATAAATTTATATATACATAGATGTATATATAAATACATGTATATATAAATTTATATATACATAGATGTATATATAAATACATGTATATATAAATACATGTATATATAAATTTATATATGTATAGATGTATATAGAAATATATATATATATATATTTTTTTTTGAGACAGAGTCTCTCTTAGTTGCTAGGCTGGAGTGCAGTGGTGTGATCTCAGCTCACTGCAGCCTCTGCCTCCTGGGTTCAAGCAAGTCTCCTGCCTTAGCCTCCCAAGTAGCTGGGACTACAGGCCCACACCAGTACACCCAGCTAACTTTTATTTTCAGTACTGACAGGGTTTTACCATGTTGGCCAGGATGGTCTCAATCTCTTGACCTTGTGATCCACCCTTCTCAGCCTCCCAAAGTGTTGGAATTGTGGCTGTGAGCCACTGTGTCCAGCCAGTTTTTCAAAATTCATCTATAATGTAGCATGAATCAGTATGTAATTCTTTTTATTTATTTATTTTTTTGAGACCAAGCCTTGCTCTGTCGCCCTGGCTGGAGTGCAGTGGCACGACCGTGGCTCACTGCAATCGCCGCCTCCCGAGTTCAAATAATTCTCCTGCCTCAGCCTCCTGAGTAGCTGGGGTAACAGGCACGCGCCACCATAGCCAGCTAGTATTTTTAGTAGAGACGGGGTTTCACCGTGTTGGCCAGGCTAGTCTCCAACTCCTGACCTCAGGTGATCCTCCCACCTCGGCCTCCCTAAGTCCTAGGATTACAGGTGTGAGCTACTGCACCCAGCCTTTAATTCCTTTTTAAAAGACTTTTTTTTTTCCTAGAGACGAGGTCTTACTATTTTGCCCAGGCTGGTCTCGGACTCCTGGAGTTTAGGGATCCTCCCATCTCAGCCTCCTGAAGTGTTGGGATTACAGGCATGGGCCACTGCACCCAGCTCGATCTGCCTCTTTCTGTGGTCACAGATGCCTGTGCAGTAGTGCATCATTTGGGATAGGATAGCAAGCTTTAGCCCGTGCCCTTCAGTGAGCATTCGGGTTGCTTCTGTGTTCTGCCTGCACCAACAGGGCTGTCTCAGCTCTATCGTTCGTGTAGACTTGTGCTTGTGGGCAGAGTCTGGGATGAACTTGGCTAGATAAAAGGAAATGAGTATTTTTTTTCTAGATGGAGTCTTGCTCTGTAGCCCAGGCTGGAGTGCAGTGGCGCAATCTCGGCTCACTGTGACCTCCGCCTCCCGGGTCCCGATTCAAGCAGTTCTCCTACCTCAGCCTCCCAAGTAGCTGGGATTACAGGCACAAGCCACCATGCCCAACTAATTTTTGTATTTTTTAGCAGAGACAGGGTTTCACCATGTTGGCCAGTCTGGTCTTGAACACCTGACCTCGTGATCCACCCACCTCAGCCTCCCAGAGTACTGGGATTACAGACATGAGCCACCTTGCAGGGCCAGAAATGAGTGTTTTAACATCAGGATAGATACAGTGCATTGCCCAAAGTCGGGTCCATTTATGTTCTCTCCAACAGTATCTGAGTGTCCATTTCTCCACATCCTCACCCACACTGGGTGTATTCATTCTTTTCAATTTCATAGTATTTCATGGTTTTAATTATGCAAACGGCCCTTTCAGTCACCTCACTTTTTCCTTTCCATCTCAAATCCTTTACCATTGAGATATTTCTTTCTGTTTCTGTTTCTTTCCAGCAAAAGGAGGGGCATGGTGTGGATAAAACATGCATCCCGAGAAGCCCCTGGAAGTCTGGAACACTCCAGGAGAAGTCCAGGCGGACGGAGCAGACGGTTAGCTCTAACCAGGACCCTGACAGCCGTCACGGTAAAAGCTCAGTGGAGGCCCCGTGCCCTTCTGACATCACTCGGGAAGATGACCGGAGCTTCCAGACCGTGCGGGCCACCGTGTTTGAGCACCACGTGGAAAGACACACAGTGGCTGAGCAGTCAGGACGTGGGCTCTCCACACTCCCTGGGGACACGGCTGATGCCCGTGTCTCAGAACCCAGGCCGAGGCCTGAGATAGGCTCTTGGCTGGCCAGGGACCCACCAGACATGACAAAACTCAACCAAGAGAACTCCAGGGGGTTTGACCATCCTGAGGAGAAGCTGGGGAGAACCGCCCTTTTGAACGGTGAACTGAGACCGTATCACACGCCTCTCCGGGAAAAATACCTTTTGGCTGAAAGACTCAGTAATAACCCCTCACTCAAGCCCTTGGACAACCCTCCCACTTCCCAGAGGGTTGAGCCCAGGTATGACGTTGTGCATGCAGTCGGGGAGCGCGTGCACAGCGAGACCATCTCACCCGCGCCGGAGGAGAAGGCGGTCACGCTCCGCAGCCGCAGGTCCTGGCTGAAGGACAGGCAGCTGTCCCAGGAGGCCACCCCTGCTGACCTGGAGTGTGGTCTGGAAGGTCAGGCAGGGTCCGTCCAAAGGGCCAGTTTGATTTGGGAAGCTCGAGGGATGCCCGAGGCCAGTGGGCCGAAGTCACCCAAATGGCTAGGCGCGGCGGTGGTGAGCTCACACAAGGCCACCGCAGTGGGTGGCGAAGAGCACTGTGCTCCTGGTGCCACCCCCGGCAGGGCTGTCAAGGCTGCCGTCTGGGAAACCCAGCATGATGGTCCAGAAGGGGCCAGAAGCAAGCCAGGGGCTGGAGCAAGGGGTCCACCCCAAGGATGCCCCCTGGATCCTCCTTCCAGGGCGACGAATGGGCCTTCTGACTCCCAAGCACGAACACATCCAGATGCATTTTCTGTGCAGAAAGGGCCCTTTGTTGTGGCCGCCAGGGAGGGTGATCCAGGGCCAGCCCCGGTGCCGCAGCCTGCAGTCAAAATGCGGAAAGCCAGCCCCACGGACCAGAGAATAGACAGATGGCGGCGGCGGACTTTACCCCACAACGTGAAATTTGACACGTTCAGTTCTCTGGTTCCAGAGAACTCTTCACAGGTGGGACACAGACAGACAGAGTATGTGAGCCCCACAGCCAGTGCCTTAAGGAAACCTCAGCTATCCCACTCCAGGGTGGAGACCCAGGAGGTGAGCCCAGGCGCTTCCTGGGACCAGACCTCCCCAGCAGTGAAGCAAGGGTCACCGGTGGAACCCAAGGCGACATTTTTTGCAGTCACCTATCAGATTCCCACTACTCAAAAGGCAAAGGGTGTGGTTCTGTCAGGGGCTGAAAACTTGCTGGAATATTCTAGAAAAATCACTCCACCCTCTTCTCCTCATTCTTCAACATCCACTTTAGTTTCTCTTGGCCATGAAGAGGCATTGGAGGTGGCAGGTAGTCAAATGTGGACGAAGGGACGAGAGCATGAAAATGCAAGCGTTTCAAAAACTCTGAAGCCAACAGACCGTCCATTATCTCTTGGGGCCAGGATTCTGGACCCTTTCAGTGGAAGAATCATTGATGTGGATGCCTTACGGAGTCATCGGGGATCCGAAGATAGTCCTCGTCTTCAGAACGATCGCAAGGAAAGTGGGAACAAGGTGTCCCCCAGCGGCGAAACTCCCCAAACCACCCCGACTCTGAGGAGTCGTCCAAAAGATCTCCCTGTGGGAAGGAAGACTGATGTGATCAGTGAGACGTTCCCAGGTAAAATCAGAGACGGCTACAGATCCAGCGTTCTCGACATTGATGCCCTGATGGCTGAGTACCAGGAGCTGTCACTGAAAGTCCCTGGGGAGGCTCAGGAGAGGAGGAGGAGTCCCATGGCAGAGTCCAGCACGTTGCCTCGGGAGAGGCCAGGCCAGCCGGGCAGGGTGGAGCAGAGAAGGAGGAGCCTGAAGGAGGTGCCTGATGCTGGGGGTCTCTGGAAACCGGCCAGCTCTGCTGAAATAAACCACAGTTTCACTCCTGGCCCAGGCAGGCAGCTGGCAGAGACCCCAGAAGCAGCCATGGGCACCAAGTCTAGCCCTCCTTTCTGGGCTCTGCCACACTCGACTCCTTCTGAAAAGTATCCAGGGGTCTCTCCTATCTCTGCGGATCCCAGGAGAAAAACCCTGGGGTTTGCTGAGGGTGACAGAAAGGCCTTTGCCGGTAAACACCACGCTGCAAAGAGTCAGAGTTACCTGACTGAGTCACAGCCCTCTGGTCGGGAGGATCCAAGCAGTGGGGTCAGGGTGTCACCCACTCCGCCCCCCACTGACCAGATGAAAGGGACCCCAAGAAAATCTGCCAGGCGGGGAGAGGAGGGCAGTGTGGCCTACTGGGGTGACCACCCACGTGACTGTGGACGGGGGCCGCTGGATATCAAGAGGGCCTACTCGGAGAAGGGGCCCCCCGCCAACATCCGAGAGGGCCTGGCCATCATGCATGAAGCCAGGGAGAGGAGGCGAGAGCAGCCCAGAGGGAGGCCCAGCCTTACTGGAGAGAATTTGGAGGCCAAAATGGGACCCTGTCGGTGGGAGTCAGGGACTCGAGACAGTCAGAAGGTAAGTACCAGGACTTTTTAAAATTTGGTCAAACGTGGATTAAAAATCTAGTCCAGGGGGCCGAAACTCAGATTTTGTGTGGCCCACATGGGTACATAAATGAGTGGAGTCGGGCTGGGCGTGAGGCTCCAGGGAGTGGTGTGGATTGCGGCCAATGGAGAGCTCATGCCCTGTCTGTTCAGGCTGGAATGCAGTGGCACAATCGGCTCACTACAGCCGTAACCTCCTGGGCTCAAGCCATCCTCCTACCTCAGCCTCCTAAGTATCTGGGACAACAGGTGTGCACCACCACGCCTGGCCAATTTTTTTATTTTTTGTAGAGGTGGGGTTTTGCCATGTTGCCCAGGCTGGTCTCAAACTCCTGGGTTCAAGTGAGCCTCTTGCTTTGGCCTCCCAAAGAGCTGGGATTATGGATATGTGCCACCACGCCTGGCCCAGCTGGTTTTTCACAGGTGGGAATGTTGGTCTTGAGATGGCAGACATTATTTATCAAGAGAATCTGAAAATCTTGATATTTATTTGTAATCCTCACATTAGGAAATGGGGAGCACTTTTTTTTCTTTTCCTTTTTCGTTTTGCGATGGAGTTTCATTCTTGTTGCCCAAGCTGGAGTGCATTGGTGCAATCTTAGCTCACTGCAACCTCTGCCTCCTGGGTTCAAGCGATTCTGCTGCCTCAACCTCCTGAGTAGCTGAGAATACAGGTGTTGTGCCACCATGCCTGGCTAATTTCTTTGTATTTTTAGTAGAGACAGGGTTTCACCATGTTGACCAGGCTGGTCTTGAATTCCTGACCTCAGGTGATCCGCCCACCTCGGCCTCCCAGAGTGCTGGGATTACAGGCATGAGCCAGCCCGCCTGGCCGAGAACTTATTTTTAAAATCGCTGTCAGCCCAAACAAGACTTGTCTGCTAGCCCCATACAGCCTGTGGGCCAGCTGTTTGACACTTCTGTCCTATAGTGGCGATAATGATAGTATCAGTGGTAGCTTAATTGTGCTTCTGATGTATGCTCGTCTGTTGTATCCTATTCATTATTATATCCCCAGAATTCAGTATCATCCTTGACATATATTGAACGTTCAGCAACTATCTGTTGAACGAACAAGTGATCTTATGTGAGCCTCAAAAGAGAGGTCATCATGGTTTTGGGTTCCAACAGAAGCAGACCCTTGTAAGCACTTTTTAAGGGGGGTGATCCCAGGAAGAACCGGCAGGGGAGAGAAGTGAGGCAGGTGCGACAGGTGCCATGGTGTGCTACTGAGGCACAGCCCCAGTGGGGACCCTGGGAGGCGGCATGGAGCACCTCTGGAGCTGTCGCGTCCAGGGGGCAAGGGATCTCGAGTGTGTATTTTCCAATCCCTCTGTCCTTACCTGAGGCTGTTTGTGGGGTCATAAAATGAAATTCAGGCTTTTCGATCCTGGCTGGCACCGTGCTCAGTGGAAGAAAGAAAATCCGGCTCCCTTTCTTCAGTGACGAACAGAGAGAAAGAAAGAGATGGGGGGGTGGTGGGGAGGGAAGGAGGAAGGGAGCACCTTAATTTCAGGCACACTCTTTTCCGGGGTACGTAAGCAGAATGGCTGTGAGGAAACCCTTGCACGAGGAAGCCACCTTGTTTCTAATACACACGCAAATTTAAACCCACCCAAATATCCATCAGTGAAGCTCTTGAGTGTTGGCCGGGGGCCCCTTCTCCGGATCTGTGGCATATACTTGAGTGTTGGGAAGGGTGCTGACGCTACCTGCTGTTGGTGCGGTCATCTTCCTGTACAGATGGGAAGAAAACAAAAACAGAACCAGAGGCTCAGAGAAGTGAAGTAACTGGTCCCAGGTCACACAGCAGTAAGTGGCAAAACTGGTATTTGAACTGAAATCTGGCCTGTTACCCAAGAGGTAGTGGTCCGTGTTCTAGGAGACCATTCTGGTGAAGAACTATGGGGCGAGGAGGTGCGGAATCTGAGGCACAGGGACCACCTTTGGAAGCCTCTGATCTCTGTAGGGAGATTGGACACTGCGATCCAAGACTGGGGAGTGACGGGGTGCAGAGGGAGGACTGGGGAGGAGGCTCAGGGCATCCTGGAGAAGGTGCTGGCCGCAGCCCAGCTTGGGGGATGGTCGTGCATTCGGTGAGGTGAGGGCATTCTCAGCAGGGCGCAGCACGGACAAAGGTTTGGAGGTGGGAAAAGCATGGGATGTTGTGAGGTGCACGTAGAAACTGACTTAGCACCGCCCCGGTGCGATGTGGCATTCGCAAACCGGGCCCCAGATTCCACCTTTGCCACTTGCAGACTGAGTGACGCAGGGCAAAACCTTTCACCTCCCTGTGCCTGAGTTTTCTTTTGAGACAGAGTCTTGCTTTGGGGCTCAGACTGGAGTGCAGTGGCACGATCTTGGCTCACTGCAACCTCCGCTTCCCGGGTTGAAGTGATTCTTCTGCCTCAGCCTCCTGAGTCGCTGGGACTAGAGGCTCCTGCCACCACGCCCGGCTACTTTTTGTGCCTTTAGTAGAGACAGGGTTTCACCGTGTTAGCCAGGCTGGTCTCTTGCGCTTGACCTTGTGATCCACCCACCTCTGCTTCCCAAAGTGCTGAGATTACAGGCGTGAGCCAGCAGGCCCGGCCTGTTTTCTTGTCTGTAAAGGGACTAGGTGACCAGTCTGGAAGGGGATGCTGCAGAAAGGAAACGCTAGGATGCTGTCAGCAGTGGTCGTGCAGTGAGGATTTGCCTCAAGTTAAGAGTGGTCAGAGGTGGAGTCAAGCTTTGAACCCACGTGTGTTCCCAGGAGGCCAGGTTCTCTAACACCATGTTCAGGATCACGCAGACTTGGCGTCTGAATCTCCACGTTGCTTCTTGCCTGCTGTGTGTAAAGCAGTGTCTTGGCCTCTCCTCGCCAAAGTTTCCACGCCAGAGTTGACAGGGATTCCAGCCCCAGAGCACTGTTGTTAGACTGAATGGAAATAAAGCACCTGGCTTGGGCCGTCCCCGTATGCTTCCGGAGAAGGGTTTCATCTGTCCCTACCCACAGGCTGATACGGTAGCAACAGTGGAAGAAGGAAGAGGCCATGGAAATGTGACACTTTCTCTGTTTGCCAGCTTCTTGCTGCGGGCCCGCTGGTGGTGGGGCGTCGGGATGTTGCGGAGTGAGGAATTCTGGGCTCAGCTCTGTCCCGCGGCCCAGCCTTGGACGCCGGCCTGAAGCACGCAGGCCCCAGTAGTGCCGGTTGTCAGGGGATCTGTTTTCTCACCAAGGGATTGGGAGACCTTGGACCAGCTTCCCGGTTTCTCTCTCGTCTCCTGCCCAAAGATCTTTGGTTCTTGATTTAAAACAAACAAACAAACAAACAAACAAACAAACAAACAAACAAAAAAAACCCAAAAGTAAAAACACACCAACACAGAAGGAAAAAATGTTGGTGGTTAAAATTTCAAACCTTACCGGGGCACAGAAAATAAAAGGTGAGCGATCCCCGTAGACAGCCACCATGACCCTTTTTTGTGTCCTTCTGGACCATTGACAGTCACTCGTCCATCACATATATGTGCAGAATTGGCATGTTTTTCAAATCGCAATAGTAGCGAAGGCTTGCGTCAAATTTGAAATGCTAAGAAACGTGGTGCAGAGAGATCGCCTTTAAATACTGGGTGTGGGGCCGGGCGCGATGGCTCACGCCTGTAATCCCAGCACTTTGGGAGGCCGGGGCGGGTGGATCACGAGGTCAGGAGATCGAGACCATCTTGGTCAATAAGGTGAAACCCCGTCTCTACTAAAAACACAAAAATTAGCCGGGCGTGCTGGTGCACACCTGTAATCCCAGCTACTCGGGAGGCTGAGGCAGGAGAATTGCCTGAACCCAGGAGACGGAGGTTGCGGTGAGCCGAGATCGCGCCATTGCACTCCAGTCTGGGTAACAACAGTGAAACTCCGTCTCAAAAAAAAATAAAATAAATAAAATAAAGTAAAAAATTTCCCTAATACCTGCCATGGTAATTTCTTCCACCTGGTAATAACTTTTACTCCTTTTTTGGGTCCATATTCTTTTGGAGCTTCTTTGTGAAAATACAAGCAGATACAAACACATATTTTCATTTTTGCTTCAGTTTTCCATAGTAGAGAACATTTTCTCTAAGTGGTTGAAACTTTGGCTGCTTAATAGGAGTAACACCAAGAATCCTAAAAGATAGCAATGCGTGGGCCTCACTCCAGGCCAGTAAGGTCAGAATCTCTGGGGTAGGACCTGCCTTTGTTATGAAACTTCCCAAGGGGAATCTTGGGTTGAGGATCTCTGCTGAACCAACAGATTTTCTACCTTTCTGTTTTTCATATAATGTGTCTTGACAGTTTTTTTTTTTTTTTTTTTTTTTTTTTTTTTTTTTTTTGAGACAGGGTCTCGCTCTGTCACCCAGGCTGAAGTACAGTAGCGAGATCATGGCTCACTGCAGCCTCAACCTCCTGGGCTTGAGCAGTCCTCCCACATCAGCCTCCCAAGAAGCTGGGACTATAAGCACATGCCACCACGCCTGGCTGATTTTTTTTTCTTTTTTGTAGAGGCAGAAGTCTCCCTATGTTGCCCAGGCTGGTATCAAACTCCTGGGCTCAAGCGATCCTCCCACCTTGGCCTCCCAAAATGCTGTCACTGCAGCAGGGAGCCACTGTGCCCGGTCTGGGAGGGTTTTTGGATTCAGCTCACAGAGAGCATCTAGATTTTTTTGGTTGCTTGTGGATATAGGAAAGTGTCTTTAACCCTTTCCCATGGATGGTATTTCCCATCCTTTGTATCACAAACCATGTATATGTATCACTGTGCACACCTGTAGGTATAGCCACAGGCGCACCATGGCGACTGCCCTTCTAAGGCCATTTCTATTTTCTTTCTGTAACCCACATGCTTATGCGTCACCTGCTTTTCTTTGAGAATGTTCGTTCTTTTCTCATTGATTTCTTAGAGCTCTTTGTTAGGAGATGAACCTTTGTACTGGTATCATTTGATTTCTTTCTGGAATTGGCCCCAGACTGCATACTGGGCAGCCCTAGGATGACACCCTGCCTTCAGTGACTCTGGGCACCTCACCAGACCTCTCTGAGCCTTACCTTCCTCATCTGTAGGATGGGGCTTCTGCCTGCTTCATGGACTTGTCAGAGATTTATCACGACGTAACATGTGATCAACCCTTTACCCAGGAGCTGGGGTGAAGAGCTTGACGAAATCAGACGGAACCCCAGCCCTCTGTTCAGCCCATGCCAGACCCTGTTCTGGGTCCCAGGGACTCTAGGCAGGACCTAGATGTGGCTAAGCTCACCATCTCCAGCTGTGTGACAGCTACTTGCCCCTGGCGGTGATTTAAATTTAAATTAGCTTAAATTAAATGCAGCTAAAAATTCAGTTCCTCAGTCACTGTGTCCCCATTTAGATGTTCCAAAGCCACACATGGGTCTTGGCCACTGTGTAGGACTTGCAGGACATCTCCATTTACTACAGAACGTTCTGGTGCTCAGGGCGCGTCTAGAGAGGCAGGCAGGCAGGCCTCCAGCTTGTGAATGAGTGAGGTTATTCATGGAGACTGTGAAGTCCTGGAGGTCAGAGAAAAGGGGGTGACAGGAGGTCAGGGATGGGCTCTGTGGGCAGGGACTGAGAGGTGCTATCTGAGTGATGGGAGGAAAACACCTGGGAGCTCAAGTGACGATGCCCCATCGTGGGGATGAGCTTGTCCTGGGATGCTGGAGGGATTCCAGGGGCACAGGGGTGTGGGTCCCAGCTGCAGTTGAGAGGTGGGTGGCCAAGGGCACGGGAGCCACAGAGGGTTCTGAGCACTGCTGTCCTGCTTGTGTCTTAGAGAACCCATCACCCCATCAGCTGCTTTGTGTGGAGACCTAGGGTGGAGGCAGGGAGTCCAGTGAGGAGGCTGCTGTGGTCCTAAAGGCTTAACAGGGCTTGCACCAGGGTGGTGACTGTGGAGGTAGAGAGAAGTAGAGAGGTTGGTGGCTTTTTTTTTTTTTTTTGGCAACAGCTTTATTGAGATATAATTTATGCCCCATACAATTCGCCCATTTAAAATATACAATTCAGTGGTTTTTAGTATATTCACAGAGTAGTGCAACCATCATCACTCTTAATTTGCTTTTTTTTTTGAGACAGGGTCTCACTCTGTCACCCAGGCTGGAGTGCAGTGGTACGATACAACTCTCAATTTTAGAATATGTGTTTGTTTTGTTGTTGTTGAGATGAAGTCTTGCTCTGTTGCTCAGACTGGAGTGCAGTGACGTAATCTTGGCTCACTGCAACCTCCTGTCTCCTGGGCTCAGGCAATTCTCCTGCCTCAGCCTCCCAAGTAGCTGGTATTACAGGTACACACCACCACTCCCGGCTAATTTTTTCATATTTTTGGTAAAGACGGGGTTTCACCATGTTGGCCAGGCTGGTTGTGAACTCCTGCCTTGGCCTCCCAAAGTACAATTTTAGAATGTCTTTGCCTCCTCCCTCCAAAAACCCTGTACCCAGTAAGCAGTCACTCCACATTCCCTGCCTTACCTTTCAGTCCTGGACAATCACTAATTCCCTCTCTGACTCTAGAGATTTGCCGCTTCTGGACATTTCATATCAATGGAATCAGACAGTATGTTGTCTTGTGACTGTCTTCTTTCAGTTAGCATGATGCTTTCAAGAATCAACCATATCCTAACATGGATCAGGACTTTATTCCTTTTTCATGCCTGAATAATATTCCATTGTTTGGGTAGACCACAGTTTCTCTCTCCATTCATATGTTGATGGGCATTTGAGTTGCTTCTGCTTTTGAATCTTAAGAATAATGCTGCTGTGAACATTCGTGTACAAGTTTTTGTGCAGACATATGTTTTCATTTCTTTGAATATATACTGAAGATTGGAATTACTAGGTCATATGATAACTTAGTTTTTGCTTTTGAGGAACTGCTAGACTGTGTTCAAGAACACCTGCACCATTTGGCATTCCCACCAGCGGCGCACGAGAGTTCTAGTTTCTCTGGATCAGGCGTCCCCAAACTTTTTACACAGGGGGCCAGTTCACTGCCCCTCAGACCGTTGGAGGGCCACCATATACTGTGCTTCTCTCACCGACCACCAATGAAAGAGGTGCCCCTTCCTGAAGTGCGGCGGGGGGCCGGATAAATGGCCTCAGGGGGCTGCAGTCTGGGGACGCCTGCTCTGGATCCTTACCAATAGTTGTTACTGTCTGTGTTTTTATTACAGCCATCCTAGTAGGCCGGACCTGAAGCAGTACCTCACTGTGGTTTTGATTTCCATTTCCCTAGTGGTGAAGGATGCTGAGCATCTTTTCACGTGCTTGTTGGCCATTTGAATACCTTCTTTGGAATGATGCCTATTCAGATTCTTTGTCCATTTTTAATTGGGTTGTCTTTGTTATTGAGTTGTCATTGTTCTTTATATATTGTGGATACGAGTGCTTTATTGGACGTATGATTTGCAGTTTTCTCCCATTTTGTGTGTTTTCGTTTCCCTTTCTTTTTTTTCTCTCTCTCTCTCTCTCTTTTTTTTTTTTCCCGAGGCAGAGTGTCATTCTGTTGCCTGGGCTGGTGTGCGGTGGCGTGATCTCGGCTCACTGCAACCTCCATCTCCTGGGTTCAAATGATTCTCTTGCCTCAGCCTCCTGAGTTGCTGGGAATACAAGCATATGCCACCTTACCCAGCTGATTTTTGTATTTTTATTAGAGAGAGGGTTTCACAATGTTGCCCAGTCTGGTCTTGAACTCCTGACGTCAAGTGATCCACCCTCCCTGGCTTCCCAAAGTAGTGAGATTACAGGCGTGAGCCACCGTGCCCAGCCTCTTTTCCCTTTCTTAATGGTACCCTTTAAAGCACAAAAGTTTTCAATGTTGACCAAGTCTATTTTATCTATTGTTCTTTTGTTGCTTATGCCTTTGGTACCCTGTTTAAGAAACCACTGCCTGATTCTAGGTCTTAAAGACTTACACCTGTATTTTCTTCTAAGAGTTTTCTAGCTTTACCGTTTACATTTAGGTCTTTGATCTATTTCAAGTTGATTTTTGTATAGGATGTCAGATTTGCAGCATGTTTTGCAGGTAGAGTCTCAGCTTTGCTGATGGGGTGGAGAGAAGAGGGGAAGAATGGAGGGCAACTGGAGGGTCTTGGCCTCCCCATCTGAGGGATGGGTGGGCAAGGTGGGAGGAGCAACTGTGGAGATAATGGAATTCAGAGGCATGTTTTGAACACCTGGATCTGAGACGAGTGTGAGCTTCCAAGATGTTGAGTGAGCAGTGGGATCTCCGCGTCCAGAGTTCCAACACCGAGAAGCAGAATTGGCAGGCATCTGGGTGTAGATGGGATTTATTTAAAGCCATGGGGGGCGTGAAGAGAGATCCCAGAGGGAATGATGTAGCAAAAGGAGAAAAGGCTCTGTGGCTGGCCTGGGACATGTGGGAACACTGATCCAGAACAGCTGGTGAGGAGGTAGGAGCAGAACCAGAGGGTCTTTGAAGGCATCCAGAAAAGAGGCCGTGAGGGAAGGGATCAGGAATCCAGCCTTGCTCTTGCTGATGCTGTGTTCTTAATAAGCAGGTCCCCTTTCCTTCTTCACGCAGGGGGAGTGTGAAGCACATAAAATATGCATCCTGGAGTCCTGGCCTATGAGTGTGTCCCCTATATATAACGAAATGGAAAAAAACAGCAGGATTTTGATGTACGGAAGGTGCCGTGCTGTTCACGCACCGTTTCTCTGTGTGCGCGTGCGTGCATGTGTGTTTCGGTGCATAAAGAGATGATTAAAATAAGGTCACCAAGAATGACCACTGGCCGGCCCACGTTTATGGAGGCGTCCCCAGGTGCCAGAGATGGAGGCGGCTAGGGTGCGCCAAGCCAAGTGCCTAGGATTCGTGCACGTCTGCCCCCTGGTGGCGATACTGTGTCATGTACTCTCCGTGTGCTGTTCTTAACCCCTAGAAGCTGAGGGCTGTTACCATAGTTCCTTTCCCGGATAATTGAGACTCAGAGAGGTTAAGGCACTCACTTGAGGTCACACAGTTATTAAATGGCTGAGGCTGGGTCACTTGAACCCAGAGCTACCGCTCTACATGTTACCTCTGATCATTAAGGTGGGGAGATTTCTGCGGGGGGGGGGGGGTGCTTTTTTTACCCTTTTTGTTCCAGAATGGACTCTTGGTGTCATATGTTTTTTTCCCGTACGTGAGAAGGCTCCCAGTAAAGTCCTTTTCTTGTGCTCTGTGCTTCAGGTGCTGCCACGGGAGCTGGAGAAGGGGGATGCCCCCCAGGAGAAGGAGCGGCTGCTCCAGCAGATGTCCCCTGTGGCCTTAGTCCCCCGGAGAAGCCACAGCTTCTCCAAGGACAGGAGGAGCGGACCCTTTGTGGTAAGTGATACTGCATGGCTGGAGAGGAACGCCCAGGGGGTGCTGGTCGCTGGACGCTGCTGTGAATGTGGCTGGTGGAGCATCCGGATGGCCCAGGGCCCTGAGGGGGTTGAGGGTAGCAGGCAGCTGCCCAGGAATCTGGTGTCACCTGACTAGCTGTGTCGTGATGTGGAGGGTATTTGGTGGCTCTGCTGGGGAAAGCCTCCTTCATCTTGGGTTTCCAGCCCAGCATGGAATAGTAACCCCACTGCCTGGCATGGAGTGGTTGAGGGAACATACGCTGGTGTTGGAAAGTCCTGGGTTCGAATCCCAGCACTGTCTCCCGTCAACCTCTTTGAGATTTCGGGCAGTTTATTTAATTTTGTTGCACTTCTGTTTCTTTACCTGGAAACCAGGATCTTGGTTCCTGTTTCTCTAGCTCTGTTGCGAGGGTGGAATAAAGTGTGTGTGGGGCCTAACACGTCATAACACGCTCAGGAACTGACAGTCATGGGGATAACAGGAGGCAGCAGAGAGCTGGTTCCAGAGCGAAATTGCCTGGGTTCCAGTCCTGGACCTACATGCGTTTCATGTGTGGCCTTTGGCTGGCCTCTGGCTTCAGTTTCTTCATCTGTAGAATGGGGATAATAATCGTATCTACTTTACAGGGCTGATGTGGTTGAGAGAATGTATGAAGTGCTCGTAATTATTACTGTTGCTGTTACTGGCATGACTGTCCGTATTTCCAAGTCTCCCTCTGGCTCTTGCTTATCTTTGTGTCTTCGTGCCTTCCTCCTCCCCGTCCTGTTTCCTTACTTGTGAAAGGAGGTGAGTACTCACTGAGCAGGCCCCAGGGACAGCGGCCCCCTCCGGAGCCTCGGTGTACCCACGTGGGTTCCAGGGCCTTGCCACTTCCAGTGAGTTTCCTTTCGGACTTTAGTTCCATGCTGTTTGGAGTTTTGCACTTGCCCATGAAGCCGCTTCCCGCCCATACGGGGGCGTTGAAGACAGGTGGCTCCTAAGAAGCGACACTTCTGCTCACAAGAGCCTCTTTGCTTGCTCAGCTTTGTGAGTTTCAGGGAGACCTGGGCCTGGTCCCACGTGTTGGAGACGTACGATTCTGCATTCAAGCTCCATTGAGAGTCCATCCATCCCTTCCAGTTTTATGGCCATGGACGAGAAACTTTGTTTCTGTTTCTGTAAAACGGGGTAAAGAAGATACCCTGGTGCGGGGTTTGTGCTAGGAATAAAGCGGAACAGCCACAGCCTGAGCCTGGCCGTGGGCCGGGGGTGGCTGGCTGGGAGGAACTCACCTCCCAGCGAGGTGTTTACTGAGCAGCCGGGGAAGCTTCCTTGAGGATCCAGATCCCAGCCCCAGATTCACACACATTTGAAACCTGCCTGGATTTTTTGATAAACGTTCCCTTCCACTAGCTGCTTTCTCAGCCATTTCTCTACTTCCTCTCAGATAGCTCTGACTCAGCTTATCTGATTGTACTTGAACTTTTCTGTTTGCATGAAGACAAAGGTGATGGGGAGAGAAGCATTTAAAAGCTGTCTTTTTAGAGTCTCTGCTCGCTGGCATCCTCCGGGGTTGCCCAGCTCCTCCTCTGTCACTCTCTGTCATTGAAGAACTTTTGTCCTTGGAGTCCTCGGGTAGCTTGCCTTGGCTCTTTCCTTCCGGCCTCTGAGGCCCCTGCCCCACGCCTGCCTGCTTGATTTTCTCTCCTCTGGAGGTAGGTGGGTGGAGGGACTTAGCCTGAACCCGAGAGTGCTAGGGCCTCAGACCTCATTCCCTGCTTTTGGGACTTATGCCTGCAATTCTGGGGAGCGGCCACAAGGAGGAGGTGGTGTTCGGCACCTATCCTGGTGGCTTCAGCAGCCCAGCCCAGCCCAGATGGACCTTTCAGTATTGGGCTCTGGAGGCTGAAAGAAGCCGAAGGGGCTTTAAGTTCTAACTCTGCCCCTGTGTGACCTTGGACAAGTGACTTCATGGATGTCACTGAATATCAGTTTTTTCTTCTGCAAGATAAGGATGGTCCTGTGTGACCTCAAGAGTATTTTTGTGAGTAGTGAAGGAGATAACCCAGAACACAGTAAATTCTCAATGTCTCAGCTGCAGGGGTAGCTTTCCTTCTCTCTCCCTCTTCTCTTCCTCCTTGCCTGATCCTTGCCTTTCTTCTACTTCCCCTTCCCTTTCTCTTCCTCCTCCTTCCCTTTCTCTGCTCTCCCTTTTTTTCTCACCCGTCCAGTTCTCACTTTATAAAAGGGGAAAGTGAGGCCTGGAGAGAGGACCTGACTTCGCCAGGGTGACCCACAGAGGAGGGCTGGGGTCCCGAGCCCCTGCCGGCTGCCCCTGTTCCTCTGGAAATCGGTCATACATTCCTTTTGTGTCTCATGAGGTGTTTGAAAGGGATTCACTGATCAGTGTGTCTGCTCTGATTCTCTTCCCTGCTTTGGTGAATGACTTCACTTTCCAGTGTAAGTTCATGTTCATCTTCACTTTTGGAGGCTCTCAGGCCCTGTCAGTTCCTACTTCAGCCTCATATTAGAGACCATGAATCCTATTTTGCAGAGCAGGAAAGTGAGGCTCAGAGGGATTCAGCCCCTTGCCCAGGGCCACACAGTTAGCAGCTGGGGGAGCTGGAATGGAAACGGGGCCCATCTCGCTCCAGCCTTGGCCCTGGGCCCTGCCCACCATGGACCTGTGCTTCTGGCTTCTGGCCAGCCCCTGCCAGCCCGTCTCCCGCACTGGGCCTGTAGCACTCTCTGCATTAGCTGCGTGAGGAAACAAGACACCCTGAGCCCTGGGACCCTCCTGGGGCTGAGAATATGATATTTGCTCCGCCTGGAGTTGGCCATCAGCTGCTCTGTTGCTGCTGTCTTCCAGAGGGTGCCTGGGACCCACCAGGCCAATGCCCTGCTGATTTGCATAGCCCTACCACCGTTGCTGAACGACAGACCCGGCCACTTGCTAAAGGCCTTGAGTCAAGTGAGTTTATCACTCAGTAAAGTGGTGACTTTTATAAAGAGAATAATGATAGCAATAATAATGCCTCATTCTTACTATGCTTACATGTAGTATAGATATTATTATTATTCCCACTTCACAGATGGGCAAACTGAGGCTCAGAGCCATCAAGTATCTCTCCCACGTTCTGGGTCTGCAGTCCATGCTCTTAAGTATGTGCTGAACTTTCCACTCCTCTTATGTGGTGGCCCAAACGAGATGATGCTTACAAATGGAGGCAGATCCCAAATGGGATGATGGTTACAAAGCTCTTAGCACAGCGCCTGACACCAAGAAACAGCTTAATAAATCGTTGCAGCTTTTTAAATTGTTATTATTATTTTGAGGACAGAGCCCAAACGAGATGATACTTACAAAACACTTAGCACAGTGCCTGACGCCAAGAAATGGCTTAATAAATCCTAGCAGCTATTATTATTATTATTATTACTGGAGATGAGGTGTCGCTGTGCCGCCCAGGCTGGAGGGCAGTGGCATGATCTCGATTCACTGGAGCCTCTGCCTCCCCGGTTCACGCGATTCTCCTGCCTGAGCCTCCTGAGTAGCCGGGACTATAGGCATGCACCACCACACCAGGCTAATTTTTGTGTTTTTAGTAGAGATAGGGTTTTGCCGTATTGGCCAGGCTGGTCTCAAACACCTGACCTCAACTGGTCCACCAGCCTTGGCCTCCAAAAATGCTGAGATTACAGGCGCGAGCCGCTGCGCCTGTCCTATTATTTCATTACTATTTACTGCCAGGTTTTTTTTTTTTTTTTTTTTTTTTCCTATGCCCTTCCGAAGAGCTGATGGGGAAGACGAGCATCCCTACTTAGTCTTAGAAGTTTTTCTGCAGTTGAGGAAATAGGCCTGGTGCAGGGAAGTGTCTTGTCTGTGGTCCTGTGGCCTCCAGAGGCAGGGCTGGGGCTGGAGTTCAGTCTTCATGACTCCTTGGCCAGTGTTCCCTGTTTTTCCCTGTCGCCCTTGTTCCTCTCAGGGTTCCCCTGGGAATCCCAAGTTCACATGGCGAATCCAAGACCCCTGTCAGGCCTCCTCCCTCCCCTCTTTTTCCCAGGAAGAGAGCTTTGGTCTGCATTCTTGCAGGGGCCATAAAACACAGTTACTCGGTTGTGGGCCATGACCTTGAGTCACAGTTTACTCTGGAGGCCCCTCTTGTGACAATGAAGGCATAGATTGATCAGCTGTGAGGTCTCCTTGCAGTGGGTGGCGGGGAAGGCCTCTGGTAGTCTCTAGAATTTTCTCCCAACCCCCGAAACCTATCAGTCAGCATGTGTTGGCTCATTTCGTCTTGAGTTTCTTTCTTTTTGGCCCTACTCTGCGCTAGGTCCTTCATGAAGGGTCCTGGAGATTTTCCCCATTAGCCTCCTGGAATTCACAGCCCGGAAGTTTGAAGATGATCTGGGAGGGTCCAGTTAGGTGCAGGAAGTAGGAGGGGAAGCGTTCGGGAGTGAGAGCTCACACAGGCAAAGGCGGGGTGCTTGGGGGACATTGAAGAGACCAGTTGGGCTGGGGTGGAGTGTTGAGGGATTTGGGTCCTTTTTTGGACAAATATTTGTCTGCATGTGCTAAGTGCTAAGCTGACCAGTGGGCTACAGTTATGACTAAGGCATAGACAATTTAGAAGGTAGGTAAGGCCGGGCACGGTGGCTCAAGCCTGTAATCCCAGCACTTTGGGAGGCCGAGGCGGGTGGATCACGAGGTCAAGAGATCGAGACCATCCTGGTCAACAAGGTGAAACCCCCGTCTCTACTAAAAATACAAAAATTAGCTGGGCATGGTGGCGCGTGCCTGTAGTCCCCGCTGCTCGGGAGGCTGAGGCAGGAGAATTGCTTGAACCCCGGAGGCGGAGGTTGCGGTGAGCCGAGATTGTGCCATTGCACTCTAGCCTGGGTAACAAGAGCGAAACTCTGTTTCAAAAAAAAAAAAAAAAAAAGAAGGTAGGTAAATAGGCCAGGCACAGGGGCTCACGTCTGTAATCCCAGCACTTAGT